ATATATTATATACTTTTTAAGTATAATTTTTACTAAGCATATTTAATAATAAAATTTTTATTATATTTCAATTATTTTTTATTTTTATTACTTAAGAATTCAAATATAAAATTTGCATGGATTAATTGATGCAGAACAATAATAAGCCACTTTTTAAATTGCTCAAGAGAGTTTTTATGATGAAAAAAAGTACGATTTTAGTGCAGACAATAAGGCATTAATGTGTGTGGTGTTGATATCTAGGGCAAAGTATGGAAACTTTCAAAATACCAGTCTCGAAACAATGATAAAAAACATTTTGATATCAAAACGAACCTTGAAAATCTTTGTTTCCAAACGATCAAGCCATTTGTATGGTAATGATTTAAAACTGCAAAAAATTACATTTCGATAAATGTTTTATAGTTATAATTATTGATTAATTTTTTTTTACTTACTGTGTATTAACAATATTTCTACCACGTTTTTTAAAATATAACTTATTTTGAGCAGAGGGTATTTTTGACACCTTTTCGCTTGAATTGATAATTCGAAAATTGGCAAAGCTTTCAAATTCTCAGTTAATTACACCCAATTTGAGCTATTTACGTTTAAAAACATTTCTGCTTTTTGCTTTGCAGCCACAGCGTTATTCAAATGTATTTGGAACTAGTCACTGCAATAATCTGCCCTAAGCAACAACATGATGGAAAACAACCAAATGTCAAAATTGTGCAACATTTCCTGTATTTACAGTTACAACAGAAAAATGATTATTTAATTAGTTTATAATCGATATTTTACTTCAAAACAGTGCTTTTATCGAAAATATATAAACTTCCATAAGAGATTACAGTTTACTTTTTAAATGTGAGCTAAATACAAAAAGTGTTAAAAACACAAAAAAAAAATTTTATTTTGACCATTATTTTTAAATTTAAATTATTATTTACTTTTAAAGAAACTCAAGTATGTTTCGAGATTATTCAGCCTGTTGACTGGGCCTTTTAGAGTAGAAAGTCTCACTAAAATCGGTGCTACATGGAAAACGGGAAAAAACTTCTTGATCAAATAAATACCTGAGAAAGAAATTCATTCTTAACTCAGCCATAAAAACTTCAGACAAGGTGGTTTTTTTCTTCAAAGAAATCCCCGAAAGTTAGCTATTCTTTTATACCAACCAATCAGATGTTAGGATTTACCAGAACGTCTTCTGCGCAGACTCGTGTTTTGGGGAAAATTACTCCACGTGGCCCACAGAGTCTAAGTCACCGGGAAAAATCGATCAGAGTAAGACCCAAAGAGAAAGGTATTTTCCCGGGAAAACCAGACTTTCCAGGACCGCCTTTGATGTTGTGTGATCCTGAAACTTTTACCGGAAAAGTAAGATTACATCCTTCTATATTCAGCGATTGAAATATTTGTCTTTTTCGTTCTTATTGGACTCGGAACTAATGGTGAAGACAGCATTTTACGAACGGGTTTGGAATCTTCGTAAAAATAATGAGAGTCTTGTAAATTTCTATCGGATGTTTACGTTTAACGCCTATTAAAACCGAAACTCTTCATTACTAGCAAAGGTATAAATTTATTTCTGCATCTTTTAACTTATAATTCATATTCTTCAATTACTGTTGCTAAATTTTGAAACACATTTGACAATAACATTTTTCTCTAGAATTAGATAATACTAAAAATAGAACTGAAGCGAAATTTGCTGTTTTGTAGTGTGTGTAAAAGTTGCGTCGAACTATGATAATACTATTTGCAGAAGAAATGCATATATTGCTGCAATTACTTCCACAGCACTAAAAAATATTTCTAGAAATATTTGTCAGCAAGCTTTATAGCTTATTTTACTTGCTAAATTGTAAAGTGATTCGCTGATTACTATAAACACCGACATATTAAGTTATACTGATAAATGAATTACCGATGTAAAAGCTTATTAATTCTTTTATAATTCATAGTGAGTGATATTGAGTCGTCATCTATGAATATTGATTGATATTGAGTCCTCACCTGTATTGATTGACATTGCTTTTTCAGCTATTTGCATTGATATTGATTCTGCAGCTCTTTTGATTATAATAAGCCGTACATTTATGCAAACTCTTGATATCTTAAGCCATAGAATTCATTTATCATTTTATGCGTTGAGTTTAGAATACTCAGTTACCAAGAATTGAAAAGTTTATTCAGGAATTCGACGAATATGCTGTCCATTAATGATCATCTTGTGAAATACATATCTTTGGCTCAGTGATACAAGAACAATAGGTATATTTGCAACTACGAACATGGACCCAGAAGACGATGAATATCCACTGAATTTGGATAGTCCAAAGCGGCATTCCGATCCAGCTCCTTGCACCAGCTCCAACGACTCCCGCCCTTCCTCTACATCAGCATTCGCCTTCAGTGTACCGGACTTGAGAAGCTACTCCCAGGGTACTTTGCGAGGGTCATCTGCATCTCCAGCCAGAAGTCCACTACCAGATGGAACACCAAGGTCGGGAACACCGAGTCCAGCTCGACCCTCCCTGGGAGCAACTCGACGTGGTAGGCATCACCTTAAGCACAGGCGGTACAGTCAAGGGTACCCAAGCCCTCCTCTTACCAGCTCCTACTTCACTACTGCTGGAAGAAGAGCAACCCATCCTCATATGTCACCAGGACGCTTTCGAAGAACCTCTTTATGGGTTGAAGAGGACCCTTGGGCTACTTACAGAGCTCGTTCTGGTAGTATACCAGTACCTAATGGCGATGACAAGCCTTTCGCAGCAGATGAAGGATGCTATAGACTTAGAAGTTTTAGTGTCACATCGAAAGGCATTGTCAATCTTGGAGATATGGTGCGAGCTAGGTCGCCAAGCGTCACATCGGAAGATTCTAGTTCAGGTGTCGAACATGATTTTCGGGAGAGGCTTTCGTCTGTTGAATCGACTATTTCTGTGCTGACTCCTCCAACAAGGTATAAGGTGCTGCTTCTTGGTGCAGAAGAAGTCGGGAAGTCTTCTCTGTTGGCGCAGTTTACAACGTCTGAATGTTTGACCACCGTGGCAACTGACATGCAGGAGTCGTTAGGTGAGTTTTTAATTCCCTCTTCTATTATGTATGGTTTTTCTTTACCATGTTTAAACAATCATTTTCAAAAATGAAGTAAACAATACTCGAGAATTGATGTTTGATAAAAAAATAATTTATGTTGTCAAAAACCAACGAATCATTATCGGGTGTAGACTATTATTGTAGATTAGGCAGAGTAGAAAATGTAAAAATAGATTTAATGGAAGAATGAGTTGCAATTATTAATAGAAATGTTTTTTTTAGTTTCATTCGTCAAAAAGGAATTAATTTCAGTATTTTGCTTAAGAGTCTTTCGCCAAATTTTGAGAACGTTTTCTTTTTTTATCATTAAAACTTAAATTTGTGCCTCATTTTAAATTTAATTATTGAATTATATTTTAAAAATTTATATTGAAGACGCCGAGCAGGCACAACATATAGTGTAGGTTATTTTATAAGTCAATATTAATGAATCATTTCTCTGAATTTAAATTAATAAAAACATCTTTGTAATTAACTCCAATTCAGTACATTTCCAAAAAACGTATTACAGCAGTCCTGTTTATAAATAAAATACATGCTAGTTCTGGAATCTGTTCTTACACCTCACATAGGTTGTTTTCATTTTAAATAGTTAAATGGGAAGAATCTCTATAATTTCCTAGTTTCTATTATTCAGTTAAAATTTTTTTTATATGGTCGCACTGCATCGACAGATAGAAAGCAGAATTTGTTAAAAAATTATTTTGAACGTGTTATATTCAATACGAGAAATCACTTAGACAATCTCTTGGGTATTTTATAAGATTTAACCGTTTGAATTTTTTTTCTGCATTAGAAGGTCAGTGAAAAGTTTCTGAGACTTCTTTAAAATTTAAAAAAATTGTTTTGAATTTTTTATTCTGATGTACTATATATTTATATTAAAATAAAAATAATTTCTTTGATCGTATAAATCAAGTATGCAGGTATTTTCTTCATTTTTAATACCAAATTCCAAAATATCAAAAATTAATGTGCAAGATTAATTCCTCGGGNTATATAAAAAGACCGAAGCTGATTAACAAATTTTTTTATAATAATGTGTTAAAAGCAAAATAATCCTTATTTTGTAAAAGTAGCTGAAATTTGATTGATAATAAAACTATTTGGAATATATCTAATTGATTTAAAGATCTAGCAATAATCTGAAATAATTGTGAGTACAAGTAAATGTTATTTGTGGAAATGTCAAACCGTTTGCAGTTCAAAGGAAAATCTGTTCAAAATTATCAAATTGAATCATTTACAAAAGGCACTGATTGTTATTCACTGGGGGAACATTGACTTGAAATTTTTAAACCCATATTTTTTCTTTAAATTTTTTTTATGAAATTCGACTTTTGCGAATTTGAGAGCATTCTCGTAAAATAATTTGAAAATCACGTAGAAATGAAAAAAATTTTGTAAACTTTTTTTCCTACTCACTTGAAAACTTCCCAAATATTGCAATACAGTTTTTTAATAGAAATCTTTGGTATATATTAATGCGATTTAAACATTTAAATTTTGAAGCAAATATGATGAAAAGTGATGTGGTTATGGGATTTGCTATTTTTAAATATCCCACATAGAATTTTTAATATCTCAAATGAATTTTTACAAAAATCAGATATTTAAAATTCAATTTCTCAGAAACTATTCGACCTCTTTCTTTCATATCCTGTATTTTGCCGCATAAAAGCACATTCTTAAAAATGTCGTAAAAATTTGTTTATCTTGCTATTCAAAATTTTTTAGATTATCATTAAGTAAAGCAATAAGAAAGTAGCAACTAATTATTTAAAAAAAATTTTTGTGCGGAATTATTTTTGGATAAACGCATTTTATTATTAGGTGCAAAAATATTTCGATTCGCTTAAAATGCTCAGGAGATATGGTGAAATACACAAAAGTAAAATTAACATAAAATGATTCAAACGTTCGACTGCTCTCCCAACCAAATCATCGAAACCATATTTCTCATTTTACATTAACCCCCTATATTTTTGCGATCTTCATCAGAAAGTAGTGCTTTGAACGTTTTTGCAATAATTAATAAAACAATAATTAATAAATTAATTAATAAAATAATTAATTATTGTTTTATTAATACAATAATTAATAAAATAATTAATAGAACAATAATAATTGTTTTGCAATAATTAATAAAAAATTCTAAATGAAATATTTTAATAATTATTTCAATAAAAAAACTAACATTTTCGGTTTTAAATCTAGTGTGGAAAAAACAGCACTTAATTATGAAAAAGTAAATGAAATGATATAAGAACAGATAAAAATATGTTGAGGTTTAGATAGCAATATAGTTTAAAAACTTTTTAAAATTCTAAATAAAGTATAATTATTGAAATGAAGAAGACAAACAGATTAGGTACTAGAGTGTAAAAAATAGTACTCTTATGTCTTTTTTACAAAGAAACATTTTCAAATCTTATTTTGTTTCATAATATTTGAGTAAACGCCTTAACGGAATATTTAATTATTGCAAATAATACTTAAAGACTTTAAAAATTTAGTATTTCATCCTTATAATCTTATAATATCATTTATGAAATTTAATTTTAGTTAAACAGCTATTAAAAACTATAAAACTTGTAAGTTTTAAACAGATTTTTCAGTCATTTTTAAACAAGTTTATATCAGCATTTTCTTTTAATTTCCCATTTTTAATGTATTATAATATTTAGAAATAAATTAACTTTTTCTTTAACTATTTTAAATGCTTTTTCAGCTTAAACATAAAAACGTAGTCAGCTATTTTTCTTAAAAATATTTTTTTTTCTCTTTCAAAAATATTAAAAATAAGAAAATGTTTAGTTTTAATTAAAAATAAGTAAATAGATANTATTATAATATTTAGAAATAAATAAACTTTTTCTTTAACTATTTTAAATGCTTTTTCAGCTTAAACATAAAAACGTAGTCTGCTATTTTTTTAAAAAATATTTTTTTTTCTCTTTCAAAAATATCAAAAATAAGAAAATGTTTAGTTTTAATTAAAAATAAGTAAATAGATAAAAAATAAGAAAGAGTTTAATTTTTACAGCTTAAAAAAAAACAATGATATTAAATGCTAAAAATTAAGTGAAGATGCGTAACAGGAAAAAAAATACTGAAATGAATTTTATTTACAAAATACATTTGGGATTTATTTTGTCTTTATGCACTTGGATGCTTTTATCTAATCAGCAGATATTTTTAGATAATGAGATAAAAAAAATTACTTTTATATTCCAGTGTTGCATTTTTAAGTAAGAAATATGAAATATAAAAAAGCCTTTTTCCTTGGTTATAAAATGTCATTTTAATTTGTTTTAAAAAAATCGCGCATGAAAACATTTTTTCTACGTAAACTACTAAATGAAGGTTTAAAAATTAAAAAAATACTTAGCATTTCAAATGTATTTGTATTTGTTTTTAACTTTTTACAACCAATATGTATTTACATTTTCATACTATAAGAATGCAACAACTATAAAAAGTGCAATATATGTATATATATATAAAAAAACTATATCGCATTTAAGACGCAATAACGAAACTAGCATTGTTTTTTTTTCTATAAAAAAAATCAATTATTTTAATGGCATATATTTACAGATCATAAATAAAAAGCAATTTTTTTCTTTAAGCTGAAATATTAAAAAAAAAGTAAAGACTCATTACTTTTAAGCGAAATCAAAACCTATCATAGAAGAAGTATGCATATATATATGTGCATTTTAAAAACATGTAAAAAGTATGATAAATATTTGTGTTGGTTAGAAATGTGATGGAAAAAACAATAGATGTTTTTTGTTTTACAGGTACTAAATTAGCAAAATATCTTTATATATTCAAAAAATGATAATTTTTTATTCTAAACTGTTTTTTCATAGATCTTTATCTAATAAAATATATAAAAGCTACCATTGCACAAAATTAAAAAAAAAAAGATTGAGAAGTATTGATTTAATTATTTCTCGCATCACTGATCGACCTTTAAATACAGTTTCTAAATTACTTAACAGAAGAGCAGCTTTAACATTTTGAATGAATACGAAAAAAACTAATAAAAAAATAACCTCAAACCAAAGAGGAAACTTAAAATTTATCAAACTTGTGTTTCATTAATCTTTAATAACAGAATCTTGCACCATATTAAGGAACAAATTCGCTGCCCACTTAGCGAAATATTAAATGGAACTATGTTTATCTAGAAATTTAACTACAATCTAAATAAATACTAATAAAATTAAAGAAGTATAATAATACCTTTCATCTTAGTATTACATTAAGGTTTCAACTAATGGGATATTATGTTTCAATCTATTGCAATACAGTGTAGATAATATTGTAGTGCAGATAATATAGATATCATAGGTGGTGTAGATATGAAAAGGTAAATGAACTACGAATAATTTTCTTGGTTAAATATTAGGAATAAATGAAATATTAACGAAATCTGTGTTTTTTTCTAAGATATGTGAATTATTAACCTTAACTGTGCAATTTCAAGTCCTGCCAAAATAAAAAAAACTTAGATGGAGACCATCTTATAACTTTATTCAGAACTATTTATGCCAATTGGGACTCGATGACTCAGCATTTATGGTACAATTTGTCATTATCAAAAACTGGGGTTTGATTCCCAGCGGCGGCTTGGTGCCCTATCAACGTAAGGTTTATGGATGTCAGCTTGTCTGAAAAGTAAAGGCGACCTGTGCTGAATGCTGACCACATCGCCAAAATCATACTATTAAGAAATAGCGGTGTCTTAACACCTCTGGCCCACAACGGGCTGTCGGGAAAATGCTTTAATTTTATAAATGCTAAATGAGGAAAAATAAAATTTTCTTAAATAATTAAGCTTTTCTATTAAAAAACTTATTAGAGTTTATAAGCAGTAAAAATTAGTATCTTTTATCACAAAATACAATTAAAACAGAAATGTTTCACTATATTTTTTTCATAGAATACACATCTTCATAACTATA